CTCTTATTTAAACATAGGATCATTCTAAGATTGTATCAGTCCTCTCTTATTTAAACATAGGATCATTCTAAGATTGTATCAGTCCTTTCTTATTTAAACATAGGATCATTCTAAGATTGTATCAATCCTCTCTTATTTAAACATAGGATCATTCTAAGATTGTATCAGTCCTCTCTTATTTAAACATAGGATCATTCTAAGATTGTATCAGTCCTCTCTTATTTAAATATTTTTCAGGCACTTCAAGCTTAGCCAACGTTTCACAGTTCTGCTGTAAAATCCCTCAGAAATTACCGTAGACCCCCTAGTTCTGAAGTAGACTCAACTATATTTAATTCGCGACTCTTCGGATCTTACACTAACAGAGCCTTCACTGAAGACTTATTTCAAACAAAGACTTTTAAAACACCAAAGTATTGTCATGGTAGGCAGTATTCTCACTGCTTTCACCATAATGATAAATATCTGCTTTACTACAGCAGTGTCCTTTCTGTTTTTAACATAGCAATCAATATTTTTTACTTCACCATACAAGTCAGCAATGTTTACCTCTGTCTCGTTTTAATGGTCAGTAGCGTCCCTCTATTTCTTATTCTAGTGGTCACCAGTGTTTATCTGGCTCTTACTCTACTGGTTAGCATTACCCACTGGAATAGAGTGAGGTGTAATTTGTAGAACGATTTCCACGCAAAAGTACTGACTGTGAATTGCAATTGCCTAATGACTAAACTAATAGTATAGTTAGACCGGATGTAGGGGTTCATATCACGTGATTCTTGATTATCATAAGCTCATGCTTTATTATTATTTACTAGTGTTGCGTGTGCGTTTCTGTAATCATACCAGATAACCAAAACGTTTTAGTCTTAAAATAAACTATAATTACTGGGAATGTAAAGGCCAGGCATCACCTTTAAACAATTACGGTGGGGTTGGGATTTCTAAATTGAGATTTTCCAGCTTCTAAGTACGTACAAGTTCTGTTTGAAATATGTCTTAATATTTAGAATACATTTTTTTTTCAAGGAAATTTTCCAGGTACTGAAGGTATATGGACAAAAGTTTACTTCATATTAAAGGTAAGCATTTACGAAATGAGCAAAGATTCAAAAGTTTTTTCCACTAGTTAGCCATAAAGTAGAAAAAGAGAAATACAAAACTGTAGAGTACAACTGAATTTGCTTCCCACATTAAATTCTCTGATTTTTCAAGAAAATGATCAAACAAGATACGCTATACGTGGCGTAAAACGCACACTTTCACTTTAATTTAGCTCAAAAGCAAATGGGCCCTGCATGGCCAGGTGGTAAAAGTGCTCGACTCACAATCTGCGGGTTCGAATCCCCATCACACCAAACATGCTCGCCCTTTCAGCCGTGGGTACGCTACAATGTGACGGTCAATCCCACTATTCGTTGGTAAAAGAGTAGCCCAGGAGTTGGCGGTGGGTGGTGATGACTAGCTGCCTTCCCTCTAGTCTTACACTACTAAATTAGAGACGGCTAGCGAAGATAGCCCTCGTGTAGCTTTGCGCGAAATTCATAACAAGCAAACGAACAAGGTTTTTTTTTAATTATATCAGCATATATATTTTTTTCCAGAATAATAACTTGTCATCAATTCTAAACAGGATAAAAATTAAGTAGCATCAGGAGTCAGAGTTCAGACATTTTAATGTACCATTACTAAATAATCGGTAATTTTCTATCCCCCCCCCCCATTAAGCTGACAGCGTTCCAGAAGAACACTCTGGTGCAACGTACAACTAAGGTCACGTTTTGTCTAAATAAAACTTGCGTCATCAAAAAAACATT